TTTTATTTTTAACTTTTTAACTTTTATCTTGTTTCTGTAAGCCGCCCGGAGTCCTACGGGATTGGGTGGCATATAAATTTATTAAATTACTAATTACTAATTACAAAGTATAAGATGCATCTAGCTTTTGGGAAGAAAAACAAGAAATTTTGTTTTGCCTCTGCCTCCAGCAATTTTCCTCCTTGCAGCAAACAGCAAATAGCCCATTTCAGTTTCAGCACAAATAGCTGATTGTCGGGCCTCCCAACGATCAGCTGTTTCAGGCTGCAGGGATTGCCATAGCCTATTGCCGCCTCCATGCGCCCCATTTTCGCCCTCCGCATCCCGTTTTTAGCCCTTGCATGCCCCGTTTTTGACCTCCGTGCGCCCCATTTTGCACCCATTCCGGGCAGTGGGGATCGGAATGAGTGGAAAATAGGACATGCGGGGGCTGAAAACGGGGCGCGCAAAGGCCAAAAATGCACTGCACGGAGGCAGCAATAGGCAATTGCAATCCCTGCAGCCTGAAACAGCTGATGGTCGGGAGGCCGATCCAACCGACAATCATCTGTTTGTGCTAACCAGACTGTGCAGAAGCTGAAACGGAAACAGGCTGTTCACGGATTGCTGCAAGGAGGAAAATTGTGAGAGGAAGAGGCCAAAGAGTGGGGGCCAGCGGGTGGGCGGGGCTACATTTGGTGTATAAGATGCACTCAAACTTTCACCCTTTTATAGGGGGGAAATGTGTCTTATACTCCGAAAACTACAGTAAGTTTTAACAACTTATGAAACATAAACATATGCTTTTAAGACTATATAAAAAATACTCAAGGGAGATCAGCAAACCAAGATATATAGCCCTAAAACCAATGACTTTATTTAAAAGTTACATACTTCTTTTTTCTCATTTCGTTCAGTCTTTATTTTTTCATAATCCGCTTTTGCTTTCTGGTTTGAAGTTTTTGCTTTAAATTTTCTCTGAATCACATTGCTCCTGTGTTAAACAAAAATACTGGCAATTAAAATATGCCTTTGGTTAAGTAGAACTATATTCTCTTTGATTCAATGACTGAAAACTTGTAGAACAGATGAATGGCAAAGATTCTTAGATTATTATTTGCTTCAACCCAGTACCTTGTTTAGTCATTGTAACTTTTTTGGGGAATGGCAGTAGAAATAATTTTATCATTAGCCTCTGGGGAAGAAATGGTGAAGTAAAAATGGCTTGCTAAAAGCAGAGCTAATGATGAAGAGCCGCAAATAGACGGGTTCTTTATAATACCTCTTGGGAGCTTGCTCACAAGTACTCTAGGCAATTGCTTCTTGCAAGGAGACCAAAGTCTATAGCAGGTTTCCATGGAGAAGAGGGAATCTTGCTCAAACCACAGTTGATACCTTTTAAAAGATCAATGGATTTATGTATTTCTTTTTCTAATCATTTTTACAAATTGTTAACTGCTTTTCAACTATTAGGAACTTTGGGATCAGCAAATCTGGGTGAATTTCCTTCAAGAATTAGCAACAGAAGTTTTAAATATAAGTTAATGACTTTTTTTGAATAAGCAGCACAGAAATGGTTATAACTATCATTTTGGAAAGTTACAAATAGACTATAAGGATCCAGATGAAATAAGATTTTGGAATTACTTATACAAATCCTCTCTGTGGAAAATATTTGTTTTAAATTCTTTAAAAACAACATAATAGAATGAAATTTCAAACGTTATACTCTAGAAGGATTTCTTACAAAGAACACTTACAAATTCAGAATGAAAAAGATTGCTAGGAAATATAAACTTGAATTATTTGATCAAGATTAAAATAGCTGTTGTTCTTTCTGCCAACCCTTAATAAACTTTTGCTGAAATCAGAACTGAATGACAATGCTTTAAAGATTTGTTTATAGGTAAGAGATGGCATATTTGAAAATAAAATCATTTTATAATAAGATTTATTTTATTTTAAGAAGTGATGAGTAACTAAAATTGTTTATACTTGTTGCGATGAAGTCATTACTTTATATATTTTTCTTTAGTATATTCTTATTTTTCTTTCTTTTCTATTTCTATTGATTTTTATTGTTGCAATTGTAATTTTTAATAACATTACTATAAATAAACCATTTTACTACTAAGAACACTAGCATTCTTACTTTGAAGTTACAGTCTCCTTCTCTTCAAGTACTACTGGTTTATGTTTAGGTTTCTGCTGTTTCCGAAGCATTTCCTCTTCAGCTAAATAAAGATGTTTCAGATGTTCTGGATAATCTTCAGTATACCCAACATTCTTCTGAGGATTCACATGTCTTTCCTTTTTAAGTAACTTTTTGTAGGCACGTTGAATCTTTTGTTTTCTCCAAATGGCAAAGCCTTGACCTAAAAGTATAGGACATCCATATTAATTACTTTTTAATGAATGTATTTCTTTCATAACAAGTACTTACCAATCTGATATTTAATACTGAAATTCTGTTACTATACCAGTCTGTATCTGATAGTGATTAATTGGTTAGTGTACACCTTGAGATGGGACAAGATTCAAGGATACATATTGCTATACATCTTTATCTGTTTCATCTGTAAATTCAATGTCAGCAAACAATTAGAACTTTAGCTAAGTCAGCAGTCCCCAACTTTCTGGCTCTGCAGACTGGCAGCGGGGGAAGGGGCAGGAAGAAGGGGATGGTTTTGCCTGCCACTTGCGTAAATATAGCTTTGTGTACTGGTTGCGGATCAGGGGTTGGGGACTCCTGGCAAAGTTATATATAAAAACTGTTGAGTCATATGAAGTAAAGCTCATATAAAATTTAACATATGATAACCAAATCATATTTGTCCCTTTTCAAATAGGATATAACTGTCTTCCTCTATAGCTGTTCTTTCCCTCATTAATTTCCTCATCAGTAAAGTGATTTTTTTAATGTAATGGGGATTCTTTGCATGCACATACACACACATTCACTCAAAATTATCTATTTTATATAACCTTGTGGTTCTTGCTCTTTATTGGGATCAAGACATCACCGAATCACTGTCACCTGCTCACTGTAATAGGCTAGTCTTGTATTAATAAAATGATCTCCCAAGTATTGACATTACTTTTTTACCACAAGAGTAAAAATACAGAAATGATATATCCTCTCCCAGGTTAGGCGTCCTTAATTTCACAGTCTGGCCTGTTTCTGCTTCCCTTTGAGACCAAGTCAAGATCGGCTACCTTTGTTACCTAGCGTGGCGTCACGGAAAAAAGTAAAAGAGGAAGAGACCATACTGGAGAGAAACCTTAACATCTTTTCCCCTTTGTCTCGTCCAACGCGGCGACCTTCTTACCCTCCTGGAGGCTTCCCCTAAATTGATGCGTGTCCCAACGCCGGGGCTGCTTCCGACTCAGACCAGCCGGAGCCTTTTCTTTTCCTCCTTTTCTATTGGAGCTCGGTGAGTCTCTATTCTTCCCAACTGGCGCCATCATGCAATCTATTCGGTTTTGTCGCACGTTGCCTATGTCATCAATAGGCGTCACCGTCTTCTTTTCAGCAGCAGGACAATCCGATTGGGAACAATGTAGAAATAGCTTTGCTCGGCACTTGATTCACTTTGCCTGGAACGAAAAGTGGGAGGGGGGAGATGCGAAACCCAGCCCCATCGATGCTGAGCTATCGGTACTCCTTTCCCAGCGTTTTCTCTTCGATGATTGGCTCGCGGTTTCTGTGCGGGGCTCACCATGTCGAGGTGTCGTCGGGATCCCTCGCCGGCCGCCTCCCGAGAGAATTACCCTTTGCCTCCGGAGCCTTCCGCGGAGACCGTAACCGAGCGGCTACGGGCAGTCGCAGAGTTCCTCCGGTGGGGACTTCCGTTGTGCCAGTCCCACACGGTGGAGTTCTACACCCGGGGGCTCTGGGAGAAGTTCGTAGCTCTTCCTCCCGAGACGGTGCTGGGCGCGCTGAGCGGAGACAGGTTGCAGCATCTCCTGGAAGAGCCGACTCCGCAGCGCCCCCTGGAGGAAGTCGCCGGTAAGAGCCACCATCTGGAAAGCCGCCGGTGCTGCTTTGAGCTCTTCGAGTAAGACTGCGCTCTCAGGGAGCGCGCTGTGCAGGGACGAGGTAGAGTCAGAACGTGAAGAAACGAGCGTCGCCTCGTTCCTTCTCGGTTTCTTTCCCTCCGCTCTTCTCCGTCCAGCCTCTTGCCAACTATTTGCCGCCGCCTTCATCGTTTCTTTCTTCACCGCCTGGAGTCAGGATGTGCTCGCTTGGTCTACGAAGATTTGATGAAAATGTTACTGCGGTAACAACGTTCATCCTTTAGTGCAGTGTTTTTTCAACTGTGGCAACTATAAAAGGCGGACCAGAATTTGCCCAGGTTCAAAAGGATTGCTTTGGGGAACTCAGGAGGTTCCCTGGGCCAGGAGTCTCCTATCTTGGCAACTTTAAGTCTTGTGGACTTCAATTCCCAGAATTCCGAGTGGCAAAGCTGGCTGAGGAATTCTGGGAGTTGAAGTCCACAAGTCTTAAAGTTGCCAAGGTTGGAGACCCCTGCCATGGGCAATCCCTCTTTTTCTCTCTCTCTCCTCATAGAGAGTGATGATGTATTTAAAATGACGCTTTCTGAGGCAGACCTCTGGGCACTGTTGGAGGGAATCTTTGGCCGAGTCGCTTGTTGTCAGTCCTACCCATCATTCCCATAGGAATCAGCTTTATGTGTCCTGCCTTGAGATGTAAAAAAATAAAAGAAATACATAATACACATAAATAAAAGCTAACACTTTATGATACTGCCTCTGCTTTATTTAGTATATTAGTATTGTTTGCAATTCAGGAACTGATCTTCGGCTCTTCCAAGCTTCTGGAAAGTATTTTGGGTTTTAAATATTACTGAGATAGTTTGAATTCTCTGAATGGAATTGATAATTGTATCTAATTGATTTATGTTAATCCTTGAAATCAACACTTTTTCTCTTTTTACAGCTGAAAAATAAAACATTTCCACATCATTAAGAGATCATTATCAATTTGGTTTTACTCTAGAAGGTGTTATAAAAATTAGGTTTTTGCTGTGTGTTGAATCCAAAAGGAAAAATATGTTTGGTTTAATTATAGAATCAGAACAGATGCTTTAGATTAGCCTATTTCAGGTACCTTGATTGAAAAGTTTTGCTTTGAGATGCCCTGTTTCATCCGGTTTCCTGTTCTTTCCACACAGATAACTCTGGATTTTACAACATTTTTTGTAAAAATACTCAGAGGCTGATTAATGTCCAGGCTTTTGTACTAGCTGCTAAATACTATTCCATGCCAAATCTTGGAGTATGCACCTCATTAGAGCAGATACTCAAAGCAATGGACAGAAAACAGCAACCAAGTAAGTTAATGTTATATTGTTTTTGATATCTGCAAAACATTTTCCTTAAAATTCATTTATTAGGAGCCATGGTGGCACAGTGGTTAGAATGCAGTTTTGCAGGCTAATTCTGCCAATTGCCAGCAATTCAATTCTCACTGGGTCAAGGTTGACTCAGCCTTCCATCCTTCTGAGGTCGGTAAAATGAGGACAGAGATTGTTGGGAGCAATATGTTGACTGTCCCAAATCAAATCCCACCTTAGCCATGAAAGTGAGTTGAGTGACTTTGAGCCAGTCACTCTTTCTCAGCCCAATTCACTTCACAGGGTTGTTGTGGGGAAAATAGGAGGAGGAAGGAGTATTAAGTATATTTGCCACCTTGAGTTATTTGTAAAAAGACAGACAGACAGAATAAGAGCTGGAATGTTTGGAATGTTTATTATAATTTATAGGCCGCCCTTTTCCCTGAGGGGACTCAGGGCGGCTTACAAAACACGGGAAAGGGGGTACAAAG